GCGCATGTGAGTGTGCGTGAGGCACATTCGTACGTGCGCTCGGACACACGTGTGCGCATGTGAGCGTGTGTGGGGCACGCTCGCACGTGCGCTCGGACACACATGTGCGCGTGTGAGTGTGCATGGGGCATGCTAGCAAGTGCGTGTCATGTGTTACGTGTGTGAACCGGGCTGAACCGGATGGGAACGGGAGGTTCCACTCTAGAACCGGACTGAACCGGATGGGAACCGGCGGTTCCACTCTAAAACCTGGCGGTTCCCGGTTTTCGGTTGGAGCCGGCACGGTCACGCGTGTTTCCAAGTCGAACCGGGAGTGTCCGGTTCGACTCGCCGTTTTTTAAAACACTGGATAAAACATTTGTGATAGTCTTGAAATTTATGGTGTAATTTAATATTTATCATATAGTGATCCTATACTTATCCTTCAGTTATAAGAGCCAGGGCTCTTGAATGATTACCGAGGTAATTTTTTATCGGGATTGTATGTTAGGAGACTATTTATTTTTGGTACATGAAAATCACAATTAATTTTAGCCATTGGATATGAAATTTGCAAAATAAAATTCGAGAACTATTGTTTTGGACTTTGTGTCTAAACAATGATATATTCTCAACTGTCCGATTTCAAATATAATAGTCAATGATGATTGCGACCTCCTTGTATCAATAGTAAATGGTCTCGTTGTATATATTTACCCTTTTATATATAACTGTCTTTTAGGGTTATGTTTTAGGACATTATGGAAAACCTTATGTACCTTAGGGCTCGTAGACTTAACATATCTCATCTAAGAGCCCTTGTGTACTTGTGGAGCCGTGATAGTGAAGTTATGGATCATATCCACTCATGAATGTAGTCACGTTAGTAAGTAATCACATAAATCTTAGTGTTCATGTATGTTATTTATTTTCACTCGATTGCATTACGTTGCCCTAGTTAATTATTTATTTCTCTCGTTTTACACATTGTCATTTGCACAAGAATGTTTGCCTTTTCCAAGAGTGTATTTATCTACTTCTTTCTTTTAAGGAAAAGAATAAAAAAATTATTTCACCTTTTGGGGATTGCTTAATTCATTCCAATCTAATTTGGTGACCCAAAAATATCATGATCCATATGATCATTGAAAGCAAAGCGTCATAAGTCTCATCAACATCCAATTAATGAATGGATGGTGATGATGGGACTGGAGGCACACCGAGTAGGGTATCTCTCTCTCTAAAGATGCGCTCCATGTTCTTGACCTCTACCTCATAATCTTTGGTTGCGGATTTGTACGTTTACTTTCTCAAATACCATTCTTTTATGTCAAAACATTGCTTTAACCTGTTGGAGTATAATCTAGATTCACTTGCACCGGCAGAACTGTACTTTTGAGTATTTTTAGTGTTGTGTGTATAAACTCTAAACATGATGGATTGATTTTTGACAAATAAAATATAATAAATAAAACATAAAACACATACCACAATAACATAAAGATTTACGTGGTTCACCTTTGAAGGTTTATATTTATGGACACGACAAACTGAACTCCACTATACTAATGAAAGTTACATCATAGATTTTGGAACAAACCTCGACAAAAACAGAAGTCGAGCAAACCCTTTTAAACCACTCTCCCTTCATTCTTTTTACTTCTAAAAACCATTATCGACAACATCGGATAAATAGAGATACGGGAGCAACAAAAAACTGACTTTCTCTCTAACTAAATAGATAAAACAACCCAAAATCTCTATGTGAACCGCTTCTTTACAAGAACCAACTTCACACTCTGCATGAGTCTTCAAGAGACACCATCAATGTTTCTCTCCATAAGACACTCTTTTCTCACTAAGAGAAGAGAGAAACCTTGCATTTTATGTGCATGAGGCCTTGCCCTCTTTTTGTGTAGAGGAAACCACATTTCCCATATAGTGACCCAAATAGGGTACACAGATTCTCTGCACTTTCATCACACACACACACAAACAAACACACACCCACACATATATAAATATATATTAGGAGTCTATACTAAATAAGAAACTTCATATATATCGTACATATATCTCAAGAGCCAAGAAATATATCCCATAGTCCTAATCCTTTGGGATTTGTATTTGAAACTTATCCATATCAAACTCAATCTCAATCCCGCATAATATGTAATTTTCTTATGTGGGTGATTTTGGATAGCACCAAATCCAACATTTAAGGCACGTTTGGTTTTTATAAATATATTTATCAAAAAAAAAATTTCACATGAAAAAATTCTCTCATATGATTAGGTGTGAAAAAAATTCTCTGTTAGGTGTGGGAATATTTTCATACCGTTTGACAGCAATGCATCTTTTCCCATAAATTGACAGTTAATTAGTGTGAAAATATTCCCGTACCTAACTACGTGAGAGATTTTTTCATA